ACAAACTACAGAAATTATTAGAAGCTGAACGTAATTGGAAGAAAATAGTCAATGCAAGAAATAAAGCAGGTTTTACTGAAGAATTTCCGGATAACAAGGAAGATGATGAGCCTCAATTACTGGGTGAAATAATGGAAGCAGTAGCTGATATTGCTGACATGCATATAAATGTACCTAATTTAACATTAGAGCAAAGAGAAGCATGCTTAATGTAGATCAAAAAAGAATTTTTGATAAAATTAAGAGTCATCCTATAAGTCAAAAAGAACATGAAGACTTATTGGACAATGAGTTTTCAAGACTACTTTGATAAGAAAATATCAAACTGCTAAAAATGTTTATTAGTGGTGTAGGTGGTACTGGTAAATCATTTTTAATAGAGGCAATAAAATGCCAAGTGGATGATATATGGCATCCAAAAAGTGGTGAAATTATGTGTGCTATAGTAGCACCAACAGGTTTGTTCACATTTAATGTAGTTGGACTAACAATACATAGATTATTTCAGCTACCAATACAGCATGATGGAAAGACAGCTGGATATTGGGCTTTGAATAAAGAAGCTCAGAAAAGGATAAAAATGACACTTAAAAATTTAAAAATTATTATAGTAGATGCGGTATCTATGGTATCCAATCTAAATCTAGCATACTTACACATGCGTTTAGAAGATATATTTGGAACTGATGAATGGTTTGGATCTAAGAATATTTTATTTGTAGGTGACGTCTTACAATTGCCACTAGTTAATGGTAGACCAGTATTTAAAAATATTAGCAACAAATTAGTAAAAACTACACTTGGAGCAGCAAATGCAGTTAACATATGGAAAGAAACAGTTGAATATTATGAACTAACAATCAATGAGCAACAAAAAGGAGACGAAACATTCTTTAAGATGCTTGATTATGTTAGGCATGGCTGTCTGACTGATAAAACTATTGATACGCTTAAGAGTCGCGTATTTAAGGTTTCAATACAAGAAAAATATAAAGAATTGGAAATTGAAGGAACAAATCCTCCAATTTGCCTATTTTCTAAGGTAGACGCCTGCTAAAAAATTAATGAATTAATGTTAGAAAGTCTAGAAACTGAGAAAATGGAATTAGCATGTGTTAATGTTATTGATGAAAGTGGCAGCACAGCAAAATTTGACAAAAGCAAAAAAAAATAGAGAAACTAAAAGATCAACCAAGCAAAACAGCTGGTTTAGAAACTGTATTGTCTCTAGCAGTAGGCTGTAGAGTAATGCTAAGACGTAATATTGATGTGACTGTAGGATTAGTTAATGGTGCCATTGGTACAGTAATGGGCAATTTATGCTACACATATATCAATCAAATTTGATCATATTGATGTACCTTGTGACATAGAGAGGGTTACATCTTGATTTATGCTATCTAAGAATTTGTATATACATAAAAAACAGTTTCCCCTTATACTTTCTTATGTTGTTACTATACATAAAAATCAGGGCCTCTCACTAGATACAGCCATTATTGACTTATCGACTGATATTTTTGGGGATGGTATGGCATATGTTGCATTGTCTTGTGTAGGTACATTAAATAAATTACATTTATTATCATTTGATCCTCTCTCTGTTAAATTAGTAGTCCGTGCATTAATGAAATCAACAGGCTGAGAAGTAAATTTTGAAAAGACTTATCTCAAATCAAGAAAAGTAAAGGAAAGAAGAGAAAGATTCAAGTGACTTGTATAATTGATGATGGTGAACCTTGTACTAAGAATGCCAAGGTGTCTTTAAGTCATGTACAAAGTACTAGTAACAGTACCGTTAGTAGCAATAAACGTAAGAGTACTGATTTACAAAAGTCTAATCGCCCCAAAAAGAGTAAAATCTGTGACAATAATGCTTTAAATAAGCCTTGCCCCAAAACAGAAAAGTTGATGTTGACAGTAGTACTGACAATACTGCTTTGGTATTGCCTCGCTCAAAGAAAGATGATAAATTAATTGTTTTAATTAATTTAAAAGACCTAATAACCAAATTTAATGTCCAAGATGATGATAGTTGTAGTAGTCTCATTCTATCTATAAAACTCAAACATTAAATGTAAACCAAAAGATGATAAAACCAAGTGTGTTGTAAAAATGACCATTGTAGTAGTAGTCTGATTGCATCTATCAAACTCTGAAGCATTAAATTAAAGACAAGTAATCCAAAAAGAGATGATGATGTCATCTTTACTTATTAAGAGCCTCCCAACCCAGATGTTGTGAGAAGGAGACAATAGGATTATGTTTATTACCCTAGTAATGAAGAATTTCAAAGAAGGTGGTGTGAGATGTTAAATCTGAAATTTGTCACATCTGTTAGAATTTTACCTGGTAGTCCAACAACACCATTGTCAGATGAAAGAGTTCCTAATAGTGCTCTTGATGTCCCTGGTGATGGGAACTGTTTATTTTATGCCCTTTCATATCTCATTACTGGGTCAATTTCTCAGCATTGCGAATTACGTAAAGCAATTGTTAGTAATATGCCAAACTTTGAAGAAGAATTGTTTAATAGTACATTAAGTTCAACCAGATATTCAAACATATATGATTACATAAATAAGTCCAAAATGTATAGAAATTATGTGTGGGCCACTGACACAGAGATTATTATGCTAACTGAAATATTAGGTACAACCATATATTCATATTCACTAACTCCTACTTTTGTTGGCTGGGCTAGATATGGAACCCAAACTTTATATGGCATTCCTTGTGATACTAATACACCTGCTTTGTATTTGAAGCATGTTGGTACTAATGATTTCCAAGCAGTTAAGTCTATTAAAATTTCTTAAGCATTGATTGTTGATGGAAAGTGGGTTTGGTGTATGGGAGGTCCATCATAAAAACATTGGTTGATTAATGTGACGTATATTTCACAGCTTGTGCAATGTGAATGATGTGTGAGTGTGAAAACCATTGGTACATATCCACCCAGTATTGCTCAGTATCAAGGGATCAAACTGCTTTAAGGATGTGAGATTAATCAATGTATAACAGTGAATATTGATTACTTGTTGCTATAATTGACAGGGAGAGGGTGTGAAAGAGGTTTGGTGATCATTAGAGTTTTGCGTTGATTCAAATTGGTGTGACTATCATTTATGTAAGACAGAGGGTTAGGAAGGGAGGAAGCTGTCATTATCAAATCTGGATCTTGTTTGTGGCTTGTACTACATGTTTATTACAAATAACAGGTGCTTATGGATCTGGGCTCTGCTGAAAAGTTTTGAAGTCCTGACAAATAAAATTTTTGAGTAACATTAAAATTTGTTATTATACATGTAGTATTATTCAAGCAGTGATTCTGTACATATAATAATGATCAACATGCATGTTAATGCTGCCATCAATGCTGTGTGCATTATTATGTTAATGCTTGCCGGCTGACATTGCTTATTTGAATGATGCTGCCATCAATGCTGTGTGCACATTAAATGCTTGGCAGCTGATGTTGCGCATCTTTTATTGATGATTGTTGTAACATGTGCATGTTCTCATTAACAAAAAAATATTGTTGCACATTGGAAATTCTTCATGTACACAATGTTATTTTAAATATTAAGCAGGTCAAGAAAGTATCTTAACTGAGGATAGCATTAGTAAGCAATATTATGTCTAAAATACATGCATGCACATGCATGTATGATCCAATCAGAAATATTGTAGATGCTACCATTATCATTATTAGTTATTATGTCACATTCATACTTCGTACAGGCACAAAGACTACAACGTGGTGTTAAAGAGTGAGGTTGATGTGATTTATAATAAAGTTTGTTCACCATTACTGTTTGTGCTATTGTTATTATTAGCCTGTGAGTTTACATTGCTTACCTTTGATATGTTTCTATTACTATGCTTTACAGGTAATTACAGCTGGAAATGATTTGCTGATTCAGCAACACTTTTGCTTGATATTGGAATGTGCAATATAATGAAAGGCAAATCTGTATTTAGATGGTAACTAAATTAATTTATTTATTAAATGTAACTTAATGTTTCGTTGCAGCTCCTTGATTAGTAGTTGTATCACAAGGTAGGAGGTGCCAGTTTACATATGTATAGGTTTTATATTACTGCATATAGTCTTAGCAATGGAATATGTAGTACGATGGAGATTATTGTGAGATGTCCTATGTATTTTGGTATAGGCTATGATTCTAGGTTACATACATCCTATTTGTTTGATGATTATATCATTAATTATGGCCACAGTAAGTACTTTCTTTACTCAATATAAATGAATGCTTGCCAATGCATCTTTTGTTGTGTGCATGCATGTTCTCATTAACAATACAAAAATAATTGTCTGCACATTGGAATGTATTCATGTGGTCTATTAATGTGTATTTGCATAATGCAGGTCTCGTAAAAGAAACTTAGCAAAACTTCAGCAAATTGAACGGTGTATGTCTAAATTACATGTACAGTGTATGTACATATACTTGTATGAGTCAATCATAGCTTAATATGCATTGTGGAGCTATACATGTCTTTTATGTATATTAATTGTTGATAAATGCATGTATGCTACTGTCAATTTGTTAGTACATGTTGTATAATTTCAAATTCATAATTTACACAGGTACATATTTTACACAAGGACTTCAATGTGGGTAGAATAAGGCCAGACTTAGTAAGAGATTTAAAAGGTGAAGGGTTATTCCTCTTTGTAAGCAGATGTATCTTTATAGTGGTTTGTATGTATGTTTGTGACAAACATAAGTTACATCATGCATATACATGTACAAAGCCTGTGTGTTTACATTGCTTGCTGTTGAGGATGTTTATTTCTTACTTTGCTTTAAGGTATTTTCAACTGCAATTGATTTAATGATTCTGCAATAATGTGTAATGCAATACTTTCATAGCATGGTATATGTCTAAAGGCTATTGTCTGATTTCGTTTGTGGTAACTTAATTAATTTCTAATAAATAAACTTCGGTGTAACATGTTTTTTTGTAGCCCTTTGATCAGTGGTGCTTTCAGACTGGATGAGGTGCCAGTTTCCAGCTGCACAGGTTTCATATTGTTATAGTCTTAGCAACTGAATACATAGTATGATAGAATATTGAGATTTCATGGTTTTTTATTATTGTGTTATAGATCATGCTCCAAGGTTATAATTCTTTTTGATGATTAATATTGATTATCTGATTAACTATGGCCACGGTACATATTTTCTTATTTTCTTCATTTACTTTAATATCCTTGGATTTATTGTTAGTATGAAAAATTTAATGTTGGACTTCTAAATTTCATATATACTTTTGTAGATTATAAATGACGACGGCACTGTGCATGTTTGTGTACGTATTCAGTTTGTCCATACTAATGACTATTAGGTAAGATTTAATTTTTTAAATCATGCATTATGATAATGTGAATTTTCCTTTAGAAATATTGAAAGAAACTAAAGGGAATAAGTATTAATGTCTTGTCAAACACTTGGCATTGCTAATGTATTTTCATCCTGGCTTTACGCTGATGTATTTTTAATTGACAGTTTCATTTTTTTATTAACATTTAGTATTATAATGACAAGTTTTTTAAGTACACGTAGTAAATAAGTGATAGTTCTTGTCAGAGGCCCCTCGGGACCTCGGCCTACGGCTTCTACCTCCACCCCTGCCAGCTCTCCTTGGTAAATTGGCATACTATTACGGAATATAAATATAATATTAAGTACATCATAGTAAAGACTTACTGTTTGTCTATTCACAGCTGTGAGCTGGGCAATTATGTGCTGCCTTTGCTGTTGCAGCAAAGGCAGTCCTGGGGCAGGAGGGGCTTCCCTACAAGGGAGCACGGGTGCCACTTCAGAAGGGAGCACCAGTGGGCCTCCGTCTACTGGAGGTGGCAGGCCTCCAGCTCTTGGGAGTGCTGGAGGTGGCGGTGGAGGCCCTCCATCTCCAGCCACTGGAGGTGGTAGACCTCCAGCTGCTGGTAGAGCTAGTGGTGGTAGCAGGCCTGCTGGAAGTGGTGGTGGAGGCCCTCCATCTCCAGCTACTGGAGGTGGCCGACCTCCAGCTTCTGGTAGAGCTGGTGGTGGTAGTGGGCCTCCGGGAGGTGGTGGTGGAGGCCCTCCATCTCCATCTACTGGAGGTGGAGGACCTCCATCCACTAGTGGTAGAGCTCGTTGTGGCGGCCTCCTGGAGATGGTGGTGGAGGCCCTCCAGCTAATGGTTGTCCGCCATGATACTCATAATCCATATACTACCGAACAATATGAAAATATAATGATAGCTTATGTAATTTTGTAAATGAACTGACTTGATGCTTTTTTGGAACAAAGGTTGCAAGACTGCGGGAAAAGTTAAGCGGTGCTGTGAGTGTGAGTGGAGAAATGGCAACTGAAGCTGAATGTAAACTTACATAGTTTTAGAACAGGAAATAGATCTTAGTAATATTCAATAATGATTCATAATTATCTTTAAGCGTAAAGCCAAGACAGAAATTAAAGCAATGCTTAAAAGTTGCTTCCATTAAAAACTTATAATAAAAATTAAATATCTTTAAGTGTAAAGCCAAGACAGAAATTAAAGCAATGCTTAAAAGTAGTGTTTGTTCAACAACGCGAAACAATTCAATACTTGAGCTTCAATCTTCCTACAATACAAAAATACATGTGATATACATACTTAATTATATTAATTAATAAAGAAAATACGTACTGGGCCATAATCAGATAATCTATATTAATCATCTAAATGATGTATAACACAATAATAAAAAACTATGGAGTCTCACAATATTCTATCTTACTATGAATTCAATTGCTAAGACTATGACAATATGAAACCTGTACAGGTGGAAAGTGGCGCCTCATCCAGTGTGAAAGCACCACTGATCAAAGAGCTACAACAAAACAATGTTACACTGATGATAATTTATTAGAAATTCATTTAGTCACCACAAATGATATCAGACAATAGCCTTAGACATTTACCATGCTATAAAAGTATTACTTTACACCTTGTTGCAGAATCATTAAATCATTTACAGTTGAAAAGACCTTAAAGCCAAGTAAGAAAGAAACATCATTTACAGCAAGCAGTGTAAACACACAGGCTATGTACATGTATATGTATGATGTAACTTACCCTATAAAGGAAAATTTTGAAGGGACTACAAATTGGCGAAATGTGACCATAATTAACAAACGGTACCTTATGGTGGGTAGTGAAACTTGTCCTTATAGCCAAGGAAAGCCAAGTTCAAGAGCTCTATTTATCATAAAATTACTCGAAAGGATCCAAAAAGTTAGTATGTAACTTTTAAACACAAGTAAATAAAAAACATTTAAAATTTAAAATCAGTAGGATTAAAATGGGAAAAAGTAAAGAAACAAGAGAGTACTTGCAAACTGGTGTGAGAAGACATGCTACACCACTGCATGAAACATAAAGCCCTCACTAGTGTAACTGTGTAAGCCTTCATGGTGCATCCTCAGTATTTGGGAATAATCATAGTCTTTTGCAGGTTCATGCAGTGGTGTAGGATATCTTCTCACACCAGTTTGCAAGTACTCTCTCGTTTATTTATTTTAATCCTACTGCTTTTCAATTTTTAATGTTTTTTTATTTACTTGTTTTCATTCTTTTTTTTTAAATTAATAAATTACATTCTGTTTTGATTCTGTGGTTAGGTTAATCATATTCATGCTAATCACGTGCGCTTAAATTAAAATGGTGTCAAACCACAAACCCACGCGGTGTTTGCAGCTGGATTTTGACTTTCATTTTGTTGTCTCCTTGCTTCTTTTTGAATCCACTATTGTGGTCCTTGACCCAAGCACAAAGGAATGATGTAAAAGCCAAATGGAGCGGTTCTCTTGTTTAAAAGATTAGAGGGGCCATAGAAGAAGATGAAAGAAAGAAGAAAAAGTCTGAACAATTTTGCAGAAATTTGAATTTAGTCCTACTCTTCAAAAAAGCTCTTGCTACATTACAGTCCACTTTATGCCATTTGTATCAACAGGGATTGCAATTGCAATATCTAATTGGCTATCACAGATATCATTGGGATACAAATATTGTTTCATAAAAATAGGGCTCACTATTCTTTGTGTGACATTGCTGACCAAAATCACTAAAGCTATTCAACTTTAATTTTCTAATGCTATTTGATGCACATATCAATACGCCTATTTTGTGAGATCTGTTTTTCAAAACTGATTCTAACAATATACTTAATGCAGCATTACATTTACTGTCATATGATTTGTTCTCAAAATCTACATCTTTCATACGTGATGGCAATAAATCATCAACTATTTAAGGGCTGTAATATAATGCTTCAATAATTTTAGTAAAGTCATATTCCTTTGCTGCACTATTTGGTGCAAATAACGAGTAATTAGAACATAATCTGTATAATATTTGACCGTAGTTACGATCATAAAAATTTTTATTTAGGTGCTTATTTTTTATTAAGTGCTTTCTTTAAATTATCCTTTTCGTTATCAGGAATTTATATCTCGAAAACGTATCCTTTGTTACACTTAATATTGCGTCCCTATTTTCAAAATACCATTTCAAAGATTTTTGTTATTGTAGGTCCAGATTTTGTTGATTAGGGGATATTGAGAATACTTTTTTTTGCGAATACTGTAATGATTGTCACATAACTTGAGTTTAATGCATTGTACTATTTTGAATATGCAAGCTTATATTTTTTACAGATGTTATATGCAATTCTTGCTTTGCTTTTGACCATGTTACATTGCCGTATATAGTATGCTCTGGCGTTTGACCTATTTTTGTTATTAAAGCCTTCAAGTTGTTTTCTAACTTCATACTTTTTTACATGCTTATTTTATTTTTTGACCCAGTTAAATTACTATTTCTTTTCCTACTTTTTTCACAACTAACACCAAAATAATTACACACTTAACAACAAAATTGTAAGTAAATAATACAAAATCAAAAGTGCAGGATGAATATCATAAGTATTACTATCACAATTACTCGGAAATCTAATGCTTATCATTGTAATTACTTATCTTGATAATATAACAACTATACCAATGATTTTCAATTATAAATTACAGCAGCTGACAATGAGAACTTAGTCAAGCTTTAACCTTAAACTCACTCTAAATGAAAAGGAATTTATTCATTTTTAAAGTCACTTTATAATATTTACCTGTTAGCAGTTAATATAACTGGTGATCTCTTAATCTGAACAGTTAAAAGCTGTTAGGCAGAAAAGAGAACAACAGAGCGAGATAAAGTTGCTGCAATTCAACTGTCACTACGGCAACAGTGCGCTTGAGCACTTCATTGCAAAATGGCATTTAAGACAGAGGGTGTGTTTGAACCTCACCCAAATGATTAGAATTTATGAGATAAAATTAAACGATATACAAACCACCTTTGAGGTCCTTGACCTACTTCCTAAGGAATGATGTACAGGCCATCTTAAGCAGTTGTCTGGTTTGAAACATTATTGTGGCAATAGAAGAAGTTGACAGAAGAAAAAGTCTGAAGAATTTTGCAGAAATTTGAATTTGGGCCTATTCTCCTGATATCCTCCTACTACATTTCCGTACACTTTAAATGTACCCAGGAGAATCACTTAGTGAAGGAGAGTTCATCTAAGCAATTTATGAGGCTGTGCAACATAGGATAAAAGAGTTACAAGAGTTTGAAAATTGTAACTTTGGTTGCCATCTTTAACAATCAACCTCAACCCTACATATAGGCTACCACCTATATAATAGTTATAAGCTGCTGGCTTGTATGTCCACAAAGTTACGGAAAGAAAAACAATTGTGGTGTTGTTAGACTACAAATAGGGCTTGCTGCATCACTAAAACAAAAAGCGGTCGGACAGTGGTAAACTGATTGTTACTGTTCAACCTATAAAAAGAACAAAGAGTAATCACAAGTTGCTAAAAGGTGTCTTAAGTGCCGAGAAAGAATGGAAACATTTTGCTTATCACATCAAAGAATATTTGCCAAGTAGTAGGATGGCGTCTAAAAAAAAGACTGCCACTACAGATATATCTTCTTCGGGAGCAAGGGAAACTCTTTTGTTGCTTCCAACAAAGTGGTTTTCTGCTGCTGTGGTGTCTGTAGCAAGCTTGTTGTCAACAACCTCCTCCTGAAGGAAAAGGTGAGGAAACAATTTTCTGTAAGGATGAGTAGCAAGTATATGAGTATATTTATAGCCATGTTCTGGCCTGTCTTTAGCTGTTTTTAATGCTATGTCCCATTCACCTGCTCCCATCTACTGTCTGGTTTCCTAAAATACTTAGTTACTGAAAGAAGCGAACTGACCCAAAGACACGGTCTGTTTTCTAACGAGACAGATTTTGGACATGAAGTCCTCTGGTCATAACAAAACCATTTCTCCTGCAGTATTTGTCCTAGAACAAAATGTTTTAACCTCGTCCCATGATATCTCTCAGTTTATGATTTAAAACCAACAAGGGATTTGAAACAAGTTGGAAACTCATCAGTCTGACGGTGCTGCCTCCAGCCTAAGGCTGTGAGGTATACTGGTATTTCTATACACCACGGTATTACATTTAGATTTAGAAGGTATAGATGTAAGTTTTAACCGTTTTGAGTATAGTAACACCTACTAAAACCGACATTTTGCCATCAAAACTGAAGATAGGTATCGAAAAAACGGTAAATACCGTACATTAGTGTACCACGTGTTACATCACTTACTGCGTGTTGAGTGTGATGGATGATCTCTCTGTGCTCTTCAAAGAACAGTGTCACCATCTACAAAAACCTGGATCACAGTAAGGTGTGGAACTTCTTTGGTCTAAGAAAAGACTCAGAAGGCATGGTTGTTGATGACGGGACAGCATTCTGTCAATCTTGCAGGAACACAAAGGCAACACACAAAGGCTCAAAAAGGCAACACAATTAACTTGAGAGCTCCCTTTAAAAACAATCATAATAATTGTTATACCCAATGGCTCATGAGGAAAGCAAGTAGCTCTGACAAAAAGACAAGAGCCAATAGTCAACTCTATACTAAGAAGTCAACTGTATGGTCATCAAAGTAAACTGTACAAAGATTTCAATACTGGAATGGCACAATTCCTCTGTAAAGATAGTCTAGCAATTTACACAGTTAAAAGATAATGATTAAAAGAATGAATTAGGACACTTGATATGAGCTACCAAATACTTGTCTTTTCTAACAAAATATCATACATGAGCCGTATTCATTCACAAAAGAAAAGTTGGCGTGAAGATTGTGTGGTGTGAATTAATTTGAGGCTACCACTGATATTTTG